TCATTGTCTCTCTTCTCTTCCATCTCTGTTAGCTTTGACATTATGAATGTTCTAAATTCCCTATCAGACATTTCCATGATTCACTGAACTGCTTGTGGAAGAAGAAGAGTTACTCTTTTCCCTTGGAGGAGAGGTATTTTCTTGTTTTCCCATATTTCTTGTGATCCGGCGGTGATTTCTTGTCATCTGATGGATGGTGTGTTTCTTTCAAATTCTTGAAATTCAGTCTGAATGTTCAGGAGCAAGCAGACAGAAGTGAACTAGAATCTTGTTGCTGTTCCTGTTGTGATCACTGTTGCAACAGATTCAGTAGATATTGAGGAATATTTTAACCCTATTAGTATTTGGATGTTTAGCTAAAATGCTCTTAGATCCTTCTAAAAACACGTTAAATGGATATTGGAGAGTGGAGAGACAAGAAAAAGAGAAATAAAAAAGAGAGAGAAACAACAACAAAAAGAGAAGACAAAAACAAAAATTGTAATTACTGTTTTTCTCTTTTTTAAAAAAAAATAAATCACAAAATAGAAAACTGCGTGGTGCGCAAGTGCGCTGTGCAAAATACCTAGTTCACAGGAGCCATGTGGAACCTTCTTCTGAAGGCCTGGCTTCTTCTGCCTGGGTGGAGGACTAGAACGATAATTAACAAGATAAAAGGTGGAGCTGGGAGCAAGAGAAAAACTTCGCCTTTAAAAAAAATGTAAAAAGGAAAAATTACAAATGCAACAATGGAAGTGACTGTGTCTCCAATCCTATAGAGATACCACCTTAGTGCAGATAATCTCACTTTAAGTTACAGGGGGATTGACCAGGCAATGCACTGAATAACTGCTTTGACTGGAACTTCGATGGATAAATTCTGCAAATCAGAGTGATTATTTTGAGTTAAAGTAGAAGAAAACTTAACGAGAATTCTCTCAGATTATATGTTTTTTTTATTATTATTTTTTATTTCATAGGATTATACCACCTTCCATGGTTTCTTTTAGAAGTGACCTGTTGGCTTTCATACACATTAAAGAAGCAGACATCACAACTATATTAATATCAAATACTGTTTTTTTCTTTTTAGATAACTTAATGTGCTATTTCTAAACCCTAATAGAAAATTAGATTTTAATGAAAATATTTCTTCAGTGCAAAGATAAGGTGGATTTGATTGAATACTATGACCTCCAGAATACTCCATTAAAATTTTTTTAAATAAAAAATTATAGGAAGTTTCTCTGTCTAAAAACATATCTAGATTTCCCCTTTTCACTTGTAGAATGAAGACTGGGCAAAACTCTTTATAGCATCGTGTTCACGTCAGAATAAATCTTATCTCTGTAAAAATAGCTTCAAAAATGGTTTATGATTTTTTTGAAGTTTAAGGATCTTAAATTTAAAAATTACACAAAGATAAGAGTCACAGGATCCATGGAATCATGCAATTGTTAGAGAGACAATTAAACAATCTGGGAAATGTAGAATTGAATCAGGTCATTAATAAAATGTATGGGGACCAGCAGTTGGCATAATGGCTATGTTGCTAGACTCCCATGTAGTCGACCATGGTTCAAGTCCCGGACCCAGTGGCTTAAACTCACACCAGGTACATGTGCATGCATGCCCAAGATCCCCAGAGGAGAAGGGATTGTGGCGTGGCCATCCCCCATGGGGGTGATTTCTCGCTTTCTTTCTCTCTGTCTCTCTGTTTTTCTGGCGAGTGTATGTGCCATATAGCAAAAACCTCTCCAAAAAAAATGTTTCAAAAGAACTTTTGTAGTGTGTCGTGAGGAAGAATTTAAGTAGATAAATATAACAATGTCTTTTCTTTATAGTGGTATAATTAAAGCACCCTTACATTGCTATTTCATTCTTATCTGTTTGATGTACTAATAAAACATTAAAAATCCATCTAGATAAAGATAGCTTAAATTATTTGAGGAATAATTGCTGGAAACAAATGTGAATGATGACAAATGTGAGCTTTTCTCAGTTTTTTAATAGTGTGTACTGAGATTGCATTTAAGTAATCTAATAGTTGTTACAGTATTACTAATAAAGTATGTCAGTTCTAATAGTCATTTTCTAAAAATAAAAAAAATTATTACTATGAAAATTTTCAAAAAACAAAAGTACAGAGAATGTAATAATAAAATTACATGTACATTTCTAAAGTGATTATTTTATTTTATTTTATTTTGGACAGAGGATATATGTGCTTACTGGAGAGAGACAGAGAGAGAGAGAGAAAGTGAGAAATTCACCTCCAAGAGGGAAGGCCACACAGCAATCCCTTGCCTTCCATTCTCCTCTCAGGATTTCGAGTATAGATGCACACTCGCCAGTGTGATTTTCAAGCTGCTGGACATTACTGCTGCTCCATGTGGCCACCCCACTTTTAAGACTTTTGATTGATTTCTAGAAGGAGAAATAGAAATACCACAATTTACATTTGTACCAGCAGTTATGTATGTGGATAGCCCAGTGTACCCTTAACCATGTATCTTTGCCAATTTGAAAAATGAAGCTTAGTTATTTAATTTGTTATTTGTTGAAATCTATTGAGATCTGACATTTAAAAATATATTTATTAGCCAGCTTGTTAATACTTTATTAATTTAATTGGCTTTGAGAAGAAAGCATGAAAGTTTAAATTTCTGTCTAATAAAATCTAGAAAAGTTTCTCTTCATTTTTATGCGTTGAAAGCCATTACTGCTTCAACATCTGATAAATATTTACCTGAGTTTTCTGGTAGTTTTACTTTTTTTTTTTTTTTTTTTAAGACAGAGCAAGTGTGCTCACCAAAGAGACAGAGAGACAGAAAATGAGAAGTCACCCACCCCACCTTCCCGCTCCCCACAAGGGAGGATGATCATGCCATAATCCCTTCTTCTCCATTCTACTCTTGGGATTTTAGGCACGCATGCACACACTTGCCCAGTGTGACTTTTTTAAGCCGCCAGGTCTGGGACTCAAACCACAGTCAACTATGTGGGAGTCCAGCAATGTTACTATTATGCTATCTACTGGACCCTATAGTCTCACTTTTAATACTTAATCCTAACTCACTGAGAATTTATTGGGTTGTTGGAAAAGTCATGACAGTGTTTTTCTATGCAAAAACTTTGTCATCACAACCTAATATTTAAATATATTTAATAAGATATTTATCTAACTCAAATCGTTTTGTTCTTTCAGGTGAAATTTTAAAAGCACTGTTTATGGAGTAATCCATTTTTTCCGTTTGGCTTCTGACATTTTATTATGATACTCTAAGGAGTTTATGTATACAAGTTACTGCTTTTGTTTTATTGATTATACTAAGCTTTCAAACATCTCAAAATAGAATCTGTAGCAGTATGTTTTTGGAATTTAAATAGTGTCTATTATACCAGACAGAGTCTCTCTCATGTCCAGTTTAAATATTTTCTTGTGTTTTGGTGAAGATACACTTGGGTGACGGGTAAAGAGCCACTTACATACTTTGACATGAACTTGTCAGCTCAGGACCATCAGACCTTTTTCACCTGTGACACAGACTTCTTACGTCCTTCAGACACAGGTATGTATTATATCTATTCATTGTGTAAGAGTGATTATTCAACATTCCTTAGAGTTATTTATTTTAAGATACAGTCTTATGGCTTAGAATTGTTTGTATTATTGATAAGAAACTCAGATTAAATTTAAACGAATGATGATCGTAAACTAGGTTGATTCATTACCTTTCCTTCTTATAAAGAATTTAAAATACTTTATGCTTCTTTTATTACTTAAAAAAACCTTTCAGAGGGCCAGCCAGTGGCATGGTGGTCAAAACAGCTGTATCCCACAGGGCCAACTGTGCAGCTCAAGTCCTGGATGTGGTGGCTTGAAAAACATGGGAGGCACATGTGTGCAGGTACCCCAAATCTCAAGAGGAGAATGGAGGAGAAGGTGATTATAGTGTGACCATCCCTCCTGAGGGGTGCCTTCTCTGACTTTCTCTCCCCAGAATGCCTATGCACTTGATAGAAAAATTAAAAACAAAAACAAAAAAACAGGATACCAGCAGATGGCATTATATTGCTGGACTCCCACGTAGTTGACAGAGATTCGAGTTCCAGAACCAGTAGCTTAAGACTCATGGCAGGCACATGTGTGTACATGCTCAAGATCCTGAGAGGAAAATGGAGAAGGGATTGCAGCATGATGATCCTCCCTGAGGGATGATTTCTCACTTTCTGTCTCTCTGACTCTCTCTGTCTCTCCAGTGAGCGCACTCTCCCTATAGCAAAAATTTCTCTTAAAAAAAACAAAAAAGCTTTTCAGATTAATTATAGCCAATTGCTCATACAGAAAGTAGTTTATCCTGTTTGGGTCCAGAAAATGAACACTTAAAATTATACATAAAAGGAAAGAATAGGACAGTGTGTAAACATTGGGTATGTAGAGAAAAAGGAAATATGTTTAGTCATAAGTTAGAGTTTCATTTAAAATGGTGAAGATAATAGAAATGTTTAGTTCTTTCTAAGCTCTTCTCTATAGAAGAAAATATTGACATGCTTCTAAGTGTATGACTTAATGACAGGATATTTTCCCTCCCATGTAATGTATGCTATTGCCAGACAGAGAGCAAATGCACCCCCTCAGGGAGTATGGTCATGCCATAGTTCCTCCATTTTTTGTTTCTATCAGAATTTTGGGCATGCACACACATGCACCTGGCATGATTTTCAAGCCTCCAGGGCCAGGATTTGAACCATGGTTGGCCATGTGGGAGTTCAAAAAGGTTGTGGAAAATGAATTAAAGTGTGAGTTTATTTTGGCGCAAGAAAAACATGAAATGAATGCATAATTTTTTCATAATAGCCTTTTTCCATGAATTTTTTGTAGACCTCCCCTCATGCTCTACATTCCTATGTAATTTTACTATGATAGTATTTTATGTTTGAAAGTCTTCTATCTCACATACATTGTTTCCCAGGATAAAACAATTATATTATACTTTATTAGGTCTCAGCACACAAGAGACTGACATTCCAGACAGGAAGACCCATGCTACAATCTACCCCCTAGCTTCAGCCAACTGAGATTATGGGCGTGCATGCAAGCTCATCTTCCCCCTGCCCCCTCCACTCCACAGCGAGTAAAAAGAGACCTCGAGACATAAACCTGGGATTTTCTCATGTGATCTCAGCATCACAGAGTGCAGAGTGTTGGATTTACTGCTGTACCTCAGTGGCTGGTTCACAATAAAACATTTTTGTACAAAAGTTTTTAAATTTAAATTTTATTTTACTATAATGTTCCAATTGTTATGATATGCTTTAATTATATTTTAGTCAAATCTTTAGAGCTACATATTTTAGCTCTTAAAACTTTGGAAAATGAACTCTGCATAACCTAATTGATTATGAGTCCTATTGTTAATCTTTTCAACCAAATCAGACTTATTCTGACAGAGAAATCTGATTTCATTTTTCAAGTCAAACAAACATGTTAACATGCATCTCCATGACAACCATCTCTCTTCTGAATTCAGATTCTAAGAGAAATCTTGGAGCTTTGCCTAGAGCTTATCACTTGGCCAACATAAGGCTCCCCTGCCTTTATTATTCCATACTAAAGCCTCCTTTGCCTTACTGTGAAGGGACCTTCCCTTAGAAGCAATGCATTCTCTGATAGTAAGTGGGTAAGTGTGCTTATGGAGAAAGCGTTATCACTCCTTACCCACTCTGTAGTTCAGAGCTTCTGGGGCCAGAAAGGCACCCTCAACAGAGTCTCACCAGATGATGATCCCCTCCCCCCAGCACTCCAGCCAGTCAGGATCTTAGGCATGCACTGTATGTTTTGGGTCAACTCAGGATCCAAATCTACAACTGGCCATGTGGTTTCCAGCACTGTAGATTGGTATGCTACCTACCACCTGTGCCACTGAGTCTGGGCCTAATGAAACAATGTGAAAGGCTAGATAGAACATTTGAAAGCATAAAATTAAGGGAAAATGGGTTAGATGACCTCACCAAAAATATAAATAAAAATTATTGTCTTCATATATTAAATTAGCAAAGATTGATGGTGGTAATACTGTGTTGGTAAGGAAAGAGGGAACAGTTACTTTCCTATATTACCTGAAAAAATGTAAATTAATTTAATTTTATTGAGAGGAGTTTGGAGGTATATAACCAAAATCTTCTAAAAGATACATATATATATATATATATATATATATTTTTTTTTTTTTTTTTGGAGAGGTTTTCGCTATAGGGTGCATGCACTCGCCAGACAGACAGAGACAGACAGAGAGACCGAAAGCGAGAAATCACCCCCTAGGGGGGATGGCCACGCCGCAATCCCTTCTCCTCCATTCTCTTCTCGGGATCTTGGGCACACACACACACACACACACACACATGCACCTGGTGTGAGTTTTAAGCCACCGGGTCCGGGATGCGAACTGCGGTGGACTACGTGGGAGTCCAGCAACATAGCCATTACGCTAACTGCTGGTCCCTAAAAGATACATATATTTTAACTGTTCTAGAAAGAAAGCATTTGGTCAGGTATGCAAAGATAGATACTAAAAGATTATCATCACAGTGTTTTTAAATTATAAAAAAATGAGTGTAACGTAATTGTCCTTCAGAAGAAAATTGGTTAAATAAATTATAATATGTATTTAATAGGCTAGAGTACCAAATAGCAATTTATTGATTAAGGTGTTGATAAAGATTCAGTGTTAAAATTTGATTTGTAAATATTATACAACTTATAGTAGATAGCCCCATTATCAAAAATTGTAAATCTCAATTTTTTTATGTAATATTTTAGTGTCTCAGCAGAATGATGTTCTTTACCTGGTCAGTATCAGATGGATGCTGACTTGCATCAATTTGTCATGTTCAGGAAGCATTAGCTGTCAGCTAGTTGATGACATGTTTGATATGAGAAATGTGCTTTTGTTACACAAGTGGAATATATTGCCTCCTTTTCGAAGCCAAGACTAATATTTTGTTTCCAAAGGAAAACTCAAACATTTTCCACATTACTCTTTCTGGACAGTTGTGGGTTTTGTTCCAAAAGCAACACTCATAGGTTCTCTATTTTTCTTATCAAACTTGAACTAGACTAGATAAGTTTTATGAATTTAGTTTGCTTATTTGTTTGTTTAATTTTTAGAAAGTGTGAAATCCTTATTTTGATACAGTAAATGATACCAAAACTAATATTGATAGTCCATAGAAATCCTAGCTCAAGATTTTGTTGAATCCTGGTAAAGACCAACATTTTCCAGACATGTACTATATTTTAAATTAATTCCTTTTTTACTTTTTAACTTTTAATACAAAGTACAAATATAAACTTTCTTTCTGGAGTGAAAAATTGATTAGACAAATACTTTGTTTTTAAGTTTTTGTATATTGTTAACAGTTCCATAGAACTTTTCAGGGAGCTGGAATATTTTATATTGATTATAATCTGATGTAACTCAGATTCTGTTTTAACATACATTTAGATATAAAAGTGCTTATATAAAATAATGATATAGTTGGGACAATCAGGTGGTGTGGTGGTTGAGGCACTAGACTCCCACATGGCTGACTGCAGTTCAAGCTCCAGACCTAGTGGCTTGAAAATCATGCCAGGTGCATGTGCATGCTTGCCTAAAATCCAAAAGGAGAATGAAGAAGGAATTACAGTGGGCCATTCCCCTGGGGGAGGAGGGTAATTTCTCACTTTCTCTCTCTCCCTATCTCTGTCCAATGAGTATGTACCCCCCTCCACATGGCAAAAACCTAAAAAAAGAAAAAAAATGATGATGATGTAATTATCTTGGTTAAGTACTTCTATTGTTATTATTCAAATAAATCAGAGGAAGAATATATTAATTTTTATTGTATGTGATGCTTCCAAATTTAAATGTAAATTTCCCATAATGTGAGCTAGTAATCTAGTTTCTTGTCTCATATGATTGAGATGTTATTTAAAATTTTGTCTACTCCCCTAGCTCATTCTTCATAACGTTTTGCATATGCTTATTTATGTTTACCATCTCATCTGCTTCTTGAAATATTTTTCCTACAGTTATGCAGAAGGCATGGAGGGAAAGAAATCCTCCAGCTCGAATCAAAGCAGCCTATCAAGCTTTAGAATTAAACAATGAGTAAGTTTGAAATATATGGAAAATAAGTTTGCTTCGAAGGAAACTCAGGCAAATAATTTTACATTTCCTTTTATCTTTCTCCAAGAAAGTAGGAGTCATTAGGGGTCCTCTTTTTCTTTTTGCATACTAGAAATAAAATTTGTAGTGTTCACTGATATGTGTATTTTGCTTCAGCAATTGTAAACTTTGATATGTCTTTGAATAGAAATTATGCTAGAAATAATTTTCGAAATTGAGAATGCTAATGGAAAATGGTGATAATACTTAATAGTTAAAAGGATACTAAAATACTTGTGCCACCTGTTTTAATTTTATTATGTAAAGCATTCGTTCAGTTTTAAGAATTTTAGTTGCTAATGGGCTCAGAGGCGTGAGAAGAAGATCCAAAATTAGTAAAACGTATTTATGTCACCATTTTTTTTCATGTTAACAACATTTTAAAAATGGTTTTTGTAACAACTCAACATTTTGAAGAGACAAAATATGAAATCTTAAGTATTTTTAATATTTAAATGGGACAGATCAATATTAAAAAAAGACTAAATAAATGCCAAGAGTAATATGGTCCCACTTGGGGCTAATGAAGGAATGGTTCCTGATTAATGGCTTGAATTTAGGGTTGTCCCCTGAACCCTTTCCCTGTAGTAGATTTATTATCCTTAGTAAGAAGACCTTTCTGAGGTGGAACAAAAATGACAGAGTGTGAAACTCAAAAGCAGCAAATAAACTAACAAAACTTGCCAGAATAAACTTTATTGCAACTCTGAAAACTGAAAGTTTACAGTATCCTGGTGAATACTTAATTGGAGGAAATAAACACTTGAATTTCTGTAAGAAAGTTGTGTGATATTCTAACTTGCCCTGGCCCCACATCCCACTCTTTAACCCTGGCAACCTTGAAGACAACAGTGTGCGTTTCAGGTATATGTTTCTCATACCAGAGGAAGAACGGACCTTATTTTCAAAAAACCATGGCCATTTGTTTTCAACTGTCTGGTAGCTTCCTGAAGGACCAACACAAAGGTTACTCCAGCTAACTTAAAATTCTCCCAGGACTGACAAACCGTATTGGGGAACATTTGTTGAAAATAACTAAAGGCAAGTACATTATCCTCTGCTGCCTGGGACAAACCAAAGACAGACCAGAAAGCTTAGGAGGAAAGGCTGAGGAATGAAACACACTGGGAAATAAAGGCTTTGAAAAGCTCTCACACAGTCCTGGGAATTTCAGAGAGCCCACACATTGATAGAGTGGGCCACATGCTCAGAAAAGACTTGAGAAGCTCAAGTCTGGCAACCTCCAGGTTTTGCACAAGCAGGAAGTGAAGGCTAAGGCAGAGTTGTATATTACCTCACTTACTGTTGGTGATGCACCCCTGTATAGCCCATCTGCAAGATCTTTTACTCTGCATATTGTCTGGTTTCAGATGTGTAAGGAGATCTCTGTCAAATCTCTAACTGACCACTAAGCTAAAAGAGCACAGACCTCACTGGTCACACATGAAAAAGAATATAGATTTTATAAAATTGATTCAGGGGATGAGCAGGTGGCATGGTGGTTAAAGTGCTGGACACTCCCACATGGCTGACCATGGTTTGAGTACCAGACCTGATGGCTTGCTTTCTCATTTTCTCGCTCTCTCTATCTCTCTCTGGTCAAATTTTTTAAAAAGTTAGTTAATTAATTTAATTTAATCTTTAAAAAAATTGATTCAGAAAAGTCACTAAATAAAAACAAACAAACAAAAAAAACCCAGCTACAACAAGCAGTAGCAACAAATCCTAAGGAGCAGAGAAAATACAAGTTCTAAAGTTGCTAGAATATACTATTAAAAATTTCCATTTTTCAAGAAAAAATTATAAGGCATACAAAGAAACAAGAAAATATGACCCATAGGCAGGAAAATAAACTAATAGAAGCTGTTCCTGAAGAAGCCTAGGCTTTGGATTTAATAGACAAAGTCTTTAACTATTGCATAGAAAAACAGAAAAATACATTGTGACTTTCTTGGCAACCTAATGTTTTAAATATACAAAAAGAGATAAAGGAAGCCATAGGAATTATGTCTCATTGTTAGAGAATATTGGTAAGGAAGAAAAAACAATAAAAAGCAACTATGTAGTACTTTTGAATTAACTTTATTGAAATAACTAAAATGAAACTTTACTGTAATTGTAGATTTGAGCAGGAAGAAAAAAGAATCAGTAAACTTGATTTTGGTATTCTGAGATCACCCAGTCTGAGAAGCAGGAAAAAATAAAGAAGGAAAATGAACAGTCTAACAGACCCATGGATATTATCAAGTATACCAACTTATGCATAATAGAATCTAGAGAAGAGACAGAGAAAGGGTCGGAAAAGATTTTTGAAGAAATAATGACTGAAAACAAAATATTAACATAATGAATCACAGCCTCAGGAAGGTGTATGGTATATTAAAAGTATCATACACCCTTACTAAATGAGATTTATTCCTGGAATGCAAGAATGGTTGAACATAGAAAACTGATTAGTGTAATATAGCAAAACTTATTAATGTAATATATAATTCTTAAAAATTTTTTTTTTTTTTTTTTTTTTTTTTTTTTAGTTTGCTGTAGGGCATATGCACTCACTGGACAGAAACAGAGAAAAAGAGAAAATGAGAAAGTATCTTCCCTCTGTAAGAAAGCATCTCCCCAAAGGAAATGACTATGCTGCAGTCCCTTCTCTCCCAGACTTTTCTTGGGATTTTGGGCATGCAAACACATTCATCTAGTGTGTCTTTCAAGCTGCCTGGTCTGGGACTTGAATCTCACAGTCGGCCATGTGGGATCCAGCTGCCTTAACTTCCAGGTCACCTGGCTGGCCCACGTATTAACAGGATTAAGAAAGTACATGGTCATCTCGATTGATGCAGAAAATGTATTTGATAAAATTCAACACCTTTCATGGCAAAAAAAAAAAGAAAATCAATTAATGTAAAATATCAAATTAGTAGAACAAAGGATAAGAACTACATGGCCATCTCAATGCATAAAAGCATTTGACAAAATCCAACACCATTTTATCATAAAAAGTTCTGACAAAAAGCTAGAAATGGGATGGAAACTTCCTCAACTTGAAAAAGAGCATCTATAAAAACCCCATAGCTACCTACATACTTAATGATGAAAGACTGAAAGATTTTCATCTAAGACTAAGGTGAGGATATCTGTATTCACCACTTAAGATGATACTGAAGGTTCTAGCCTTTTCAGTTAGGCAAGAGAAAGAAACACATTTAAACTGGAATGGAAAAAATAAAACTATATTCATAGATGGCATGATCTTTTTTTTTTTAATTTCCAGAGGGCATGTGTGTGCACCAGAGAGAGACAGAGAAAGAGAGAGGGGAGGAAGGGGAAAACACTCCCTAATGGAAAATGATGATGCCACAGTCTCTTCTACATTTCTCTAGTCTGTTAAAATTTGAGGCATGCATGTTTTTCAAGTCATCAAGGACCGAATTTGAACCATAGTTGGCCTTGTGGGGTCCCTCTTCCTTAACCACTAGGCTAATGATGCCAGCTGGCATGATCTTATATGGGGAAAATCTTAAAAAGTTCATACACAAAGAAACAAGTAGAGCTAATAAAAAGAGTTCAACAAAGTTGCAAGAGACGAGATCAACATATAAAAATCAATTACATTTCTATACACCATCAGTGAACAATCTAGAAAGGAAAGTAAGAGAACAATTCCCTTAGTAAGACTAAAATACTTATGAATAAATTAAACCCATGAGATACATGACTTGTACACCAAAAACTAAAAAACATTCCAGAAATAATTTGAAGAACTAAATAAATGGGAAGACATTCTGTGTTCATGGATGGAAGACTTAACATTGGTAAGAAGTCAGTATCCCCCAATTTAATTTACAGATCCATTGTAATTGGATCAAACTTCCAATTATGATTTTTGTAGAAATCTGCAAGATGATTCTAAAATTCATGTGGAATTTCAAGAGACTCTAAATCCCCAAAACAAGCTTGAGGGACCGGCAGGTGGTGTAATGGCTGCATCCCTGGACTTCCATGTAGTCAACTGTGATTCGAGTCCTAGACCTGGTGGCTTAAACTCATGCCGGGCACATGTGAGTGCGTGCCCAAGATCCCAAGAGGAGAATGGAGGAGAAGGGACTGCAATGTGGCCATCCCCCTGGGGGAGTAATTTCTCTCTTTCTGTCTCTCTGTCTTCCTGGAACACATGCACCTTGTAGCAAAAACCTCTCCAAAAAAAAAAAACTTGAAATAGTTGGAGAACTTACACTTCACAATGTAAAACTTACAATGAAGCTAAATAATTAAATCATCATGACAGACACTTAAATCAATGGATTCGAATTGGATATCTGGAAATAAACCCTTACATTTATGGTCAGGTGAGGTTGAATAAGGATGCCAAGACCATTCAATGGAAGAAAGAATAGTCTTTTCAACAAATAATGCTAGAAAACCTGATAGCTACATATATACCATACATACCAGCTAATTTAAAATTAACCTAGAATTGGGGCCAGCAGATGATGTAATGGCTGCGTCGCTGGACTCCCATGCAGTCGACCGCGGTTTGAGTCCCGGACCCGATGGCTTAAACTCATGCTGGGCGCATGTGCATGCATGCCCAGGATCCCGAGAAAAGAATGGGGAGAAGGGATTGCGGCATGGCCATCCCCCCTGGGGGAGGGGGATGATTTCTGTCTCTCTCTCTCTCTTTTTCTGGTGAGCACACGTGCCCTATAGCAAAAAACTCTCCAAAAAAAAATTTTTTTTAACCTAGATTTGGGGCCAGCAGATGACATGGTAGTTACTTTGCTGAACTCCCATGGCTGACCACGGTTCTTGTCCTGGACCCCGTGATTTGAAAATCATACTGGGTACATGTATGTGCATGCTCAGGATCCCAGGAGAATAAAGGAAAGGGGATTGCAGCATGGCCATCCCCTCTGGGGATGATTTCTCACTTTCCCTTTCACTATCTCTGTCTCTCTCCTGGGAGCACATTCACCTTAAAGACAAAAACCTCTTAAAAAGATTAACCAAGTATTTAAATGTAAGAGCCAAAACTATAAAATTCTAAAAACAGGGGCATATCTTCATGATCTTGGATTTTCCAGTGGTTTATTAGATATGACACTAAAAACATAAGGAACAGAAGAAAAGTTACATGAATTAGATTTCACCAAAATTTAAATCTTTTGTCCATCAAAGAATACTATCAGGAGACAGAAGATAAATTTGATTGCCAGGGGTTGCAAAGCCAGGTGAAATGGGAAGTGACTATTTAATGAATATGAGTGTTTTGGGGGTTGGGGAGTTAATGTAAAAGTGTGATTACATAGTGGTGATGGCTGTACAACCTTGAGAGTATATTAAAAAGCCTTGAATTATACACTTTAAAGAACTCTACAGTATGACTATTGTATGGTTTTCCCCTTAATTTAAAAAACAGTATTCCCAGGGCCAGCAGGTGGAATGGTGGTTAAGGGCACTAGACTCCCATGTGGCTGACCGCAGTTCGAGTCCTGGACCTGGCTACATGCTTTCTCACATTCTGTCTCTGTCTCTGCCTCTCTCTCTCTCTCACACACACACACACACACACACACACACACTTTGTCCCTCTCTGGTCAAATTAAAAATAAATAAGAAAGAAAGTTAAATAATTCTTTAAAAATAAATAAAAATAAAAACACTCCCAAAAGTAAAAGTCATTAGATATTTATATAAGTAATATATCAGTATCTCTATAGAAAGCACTTTTGGACAAATGCAAAAAAAGCTTTATGGGGAGAAACACTTTTTTTTAAAGTTATTATAATTTAAAATTTTATTTACATTTTGATTCTATAACAATTTATGCACATCTAGATCTTCTACAAAAATATTTTTATTATGGTTAATTAAAAGCATTTGAAGCCAGTAGGTGGCATGGTGGTTAAGGTGCTAGATTCCCACATGGCTGATAGTGGTTTGAGTCCTGGACTCAGTGGTTGGAAAATCACACCAGCTGTGCGCATGTGTATGTGTGTATGTGTGTGTGTGTGTGTGTGTGTGCTCAAAATCCAGAGAGGAGAAGGGATTGTGGCATGGCCATCCGCCCCACCCCAGCCGGGGCGGGGGGAGGGGGCACTGATTTCTCACTTTGCCTCTTTCTGTGTCTTTCTGGCAGGCATTCTTGTCCTGTAGCAAAAACCATAAATAAATAAATAAATAAATAAATAGATAGATAGATAGATAGATAGATAGATAGATAGATAGATAAATAAATAAATAAATAAGAAAGAAAGAAAGAAAGAAAGAAAGAAAGAAAGAAAGAAAGAAAGAAAGAAAGAAAGAAAGAGCATTTGAATTGTGTTTTAGAATGGCAGGCAGAAAGTCTTGATTTAAAGCAGCAGTATGTCTTCACTTGGGCACACACACTCACCAGAATGAGACAGGGAGAGAAAGAAAAAGCACTCCCCATTGGGTTGCAATCACACCACAATCCCTTCTTCTCTACTTCACCCTGTTATTGAGCGTGCTCACACACCCACCTGGTAAGTTTTCCAGGCTCTTGGATTTACTTGAACTGTAGTTAGCCATGTAGGGTCTGCTCCCTTAACCACTGGACTGTGGGGCTGGCACAACAGCAAGAATCTAGTCTTTCAGAGAAGTCCAGTGTATTGTAATGGAGAACTCATTTGATTAGTGAATTTGTTATATGTTTTAGCATATTATTTAAAGAAGGCTGAAATAGTATAGTTTGCATTTTACATATCTGAAGGACTCTTGTTCCCATTTGGAATAACTATCGTACCATCACTTTTTTTTTTTTTTTTTGGACAGAGGGCACATGCTCTAACCAGAGAAAGAGCAAGGAGGGGTGTAAGAAAGAAGTCTTGGTCGTGAGAAATGGTCATGTTGTAATTCCTTCTCCAGTTCTCCCTCCTTTTCAGGAGTTTGGGTATGGACATGAACCTGGCATGTTTTTCAACCCTCTGGGTCTGAGACTTGTACCACGCAATCAGCCACATGGAACCAAGCCTTTTTTTTTTTTTTTTTTTGAGAGATTTTCGCTAT